CATGTCTTTTTTCCTGCTTGGATTAAGCAAATGTCTCATTAGACTCTGGCATGTGGATAGAGAAATCTCACACCTCGTCTTGGTTTTAGCTTGATAAACTACCTAAATGGACAGCAATTTGACAAAAAGAGAATATAGATGGTGACATTCTTGACTTTTTGTACCCTAAACTTTACCAAACAGAAAGTAGAAAAAACATAGAGTTCAGTTGGTCGAGTAAAGTCAAAAAGTAGAAAAAACATAGTGTTCAATTGGTCGAGTAGTTCAACAACTCGAAACTCATACTTTTTATTTAGTTATGCATTCAATAAAACTACGGTTAATTACTTATTATCTCTTGAAGCCAAGTTGCAAAGTGTTGGATTTTTAAGTAGTAGTGGTAGAAAGATTGATACGGAACAATTAGAAGAGAAAATCATGAATCAGTTGAGAAATAGAAGAAATAAAAAGGATCAACAAAAACGCGAATAAGTTTTACCTTGAGTGTCAAATTTACATAAGCGAGTACAATTCGGAAGCATTTTTCAATTTTGTACAGTTTTCTACCGGGTGAACTATAGTGAAATGCGTTGAATGGACACTTCCCTCATGATATATTGTATGGTTATTAACTTAGTTCTTTAGAATTCCAAGCACTAACATTTTAGTTGAATAATATTATGTAGTACCACTAAGTGACAATAGACTCCACTACATAATCAAACATTATTTGCTATTTTTCCACCAATAAAATCTTCCTTGCCCAACCTAACATCATTGAAGGCATAAAGGGTTACAAGGTCTACAATGATCCGAAAAGTTAAAAACATTTTGTCAACAATATGGACATTACTTTGTCCATCTTGGTTCATAGTTGATACTGTTATGAATAGCATGTCATATACATTAGAAAAACTTTAGTAGGACGATCGCACCTTCCTACGTGATGCGACCATCGAATGGGGAGCCACCACCTTATTGGGTGGTCCATCCTCACCCAATGAGGTGAGGCTGAGATTCGGCGATCGCACTGCGTAAGATGGTGCGATGGTCTGATCAAAGTTTTTCTCCATGTACATGGGCTCACACCGACTAAAGTTTTTCTCCACGTACATGGGCTCAGCGTCAAAAACTATGCCAAGAAATTAATGTCAAAATTAAGCAATGTAACCTTGCGAGCCTTAGTCACTCTGGAGCTGCTTCTTCGACCATTTCAATACATGAGCTTAACAAAATCTGAATTTTTCTGTATTTGTCGTTTATCACGTGTTGATAATGAAATTTAAATAAGAAATTGATTTCTCTTTAATAGTTAAACTTTTTATACAAGATGTACACTTATCCATCATTTATGAAATTGTGTATGTATCATGCTTTTGATGAGATATAGATCAATCAATTTGTATATTTTTTTAACAAGTTAAGTTCTTAGATGAGATCATAACCCGATTTGCTAAAGTTTTATTGAAAAGAAATATTGTAATGTTCCTCTTTCCTTGGAAATTTGTGTTAGTCTTTGAGGTAGGACATTAATCTAGTCATGCAATGAGTGATTTATTTACATACTATTGCATATTTTCTATCACAAGTATACAATATCTTATCAAGTTATATGATGGACATATGAGTTTGGATGATTATTTCCATGGGTACTATTATTTAATTCCTATTTTTTTATTTCTAATTCCTAATTGATGAAAAACAAGGTATAATTTGTGAATAATGACCTAAATTATCTAATTGTACCAATGTTGTCTAAGCACATAATTAATCAAGTAAGAGTCTTGAAGTATGAATGTGGATCTTAGAACTTACAATTTCATATATTGATCACTTTTAATTCTTAAATAAAGAATTTTTTACTTACTGTTGGGTCAAATTCTTTTTAATTGATCAATTTATCTCTCTCAAGTCCAAATTGATCATATTCAACTAAGTCAATTCACCGTATCTCTATGTGAATCCAAATAAGTTTTAATTAAATGCACTTAATGTCTAAGAACCCATAAAACGATAGCAATAACCATAAAATGTAACTCTACACTTTTACCCAAACAAATTTTATTATGTGGTCTAAATCTAAAATTGTCTTTTTAGATTTTTTCATTTTTTTACCTTTTGATTTTCATTCTTTTCCCGTTGATCTTGATAACAATAAGCAAACAACAAAGTCACATAAGAAGATCTTCTTTTATTTAAAAAAAAAAAAAACTTTATTTGAATTTCTTTTCCAGATTTGTGACAGCTTTTAATGAATTTCTTGTTTATGGTGATTTTTTTTTTTTTTTGTTGGTATTTGTGTTGCTGGTGATTGTGTTTGTGATCATGATGAGTGATGACGGTGACGGGTCTAGTTCGCGCTTATAAATGTGATGGTAACTTTTGTGGTTGCGATGCAAATCGCCGTTTATGACAATGGAAAAGAGGAGGCGGCGCCGACAATGGTAGTAATTTCAATGTTGACTGTGGCTGTAGTGGTAAAAATACGTGGGAAAATGTGCTAATTGTTTTATAGGTGTTACAAAATGTGTAACACTTTCGTTAGACGAAAAAAAGAGAGTGAAATAGTGGTGTAAAAAAATTAACGTTATTTCACGAAAAAATTGTTTTTAAGGATATTTACGTTACTTAACCAAGGTAGAATTTTGCCTTTAATAGCCACCAATAAAATCTGACAGCCCACTCAACTATCACCAAAACATAAGCATCTTCAAAAAATTCTCTATTTTTAAAAAAATATATTCTACGATATAAAGAGCATCTATAAATTAAGACAACAAATATTTTTAAGTGCTCTAATAGACTATTTATATTTAACAATTAATTTTACTACTCCTAAAAAATCATTCTTGTTTTTTCTATATTTTATTTTCACTAGCATCTCTCCAAATTATTCTATTGTTTTCTTCCATTGAACATTGAAATATTTTGAATACATTAAATTACAGAGAGTGAGTTTGATTCTTTGAATTTAGAGTCAAACTCACTCTTTAAATTAAAATATTAATTTAAAAAATCTTATGGAATATAAATTTAATGATCGATTCTTTAAACTAGAGAGCATCTTATATTTAAAGAGTTTCTTAAATATTACTCTAATGCATAAAGGTGGAGAGGCCTACATGATTCAAAAAATTTGAACATTTTGTCAACAATTTCAACATCAATTTGCTCACCTTTGTTAGTACTTCAACAATATTCAACATCATGTAAGGAACATGTGCTCACTAGGGACGGTAGAAATACTCTCGTCCTGCAATTTCCCAGCACAAATGGTAAACGCGACAAGGACGAGGAATATGGTCCCTCGTTCTGAAATTCTTGAGCATGTCGTGAACTTTTTTTTTGTAGTGCCAATGGGGCGATGATTATAATGAGAATCACACTCCTGTCCCATACTGTCCGTCCGTCCCATTGCCATCTCTATTGTTCACTAGTAGAATATATCACAAGGAAACTTTCTTAATTAAACTTTTATTATCTAGTACGGTATGCTTTAGTCTATCTCAAATAGTTCCTTCGACTCGTTTAGTAGGTACGAACCCAATGAAATCTCGTTTTGTACCTTGTCTTGAAGAATTTGTTTAACCAGAAAGGTTTGTCTAATATTACAAAAGATTGTTTAAAATGATACCACAGAGCAAGTCTTGAGTTCAAAATTTATTAACATTAACCATTTATGAAAAATGCACGCCATATTCTTTTGGTTGAAAACAAATTAATTACCATGCTTTTGATAGGTAATAAAATTAATATATTGTTGTGCAAATGAAAATTCTTGTTGGCAAATTTCCAATATAATATTTTGACAAAATTTCAAATGAATGACATTTAAAAGTACAGTGTATTTTTACATACATATACACATGTATATCGTAGCATTGCACTACAATTGATTGCCAAATACCACAGCTTCGACGCTTAATCAAATCCCACCAATGTGCCACCATGATGTTGATGTCAACATCGCCACATTGCCACCTCCACGATATGAAATTTCAAATTTTCTATATGATTCTAGATCATGCTTTTATTTCTTTATTTTTATTTTTTAGATTTGGTGACGGTTGGTGGTGGTTGTGATGATGATGGTAGTGGCGATGATGGTGGTGAGTTTGTGTTGATAGCTGTGGTGGTGGTTTTTATGGTGGCGTAAGCTTGATAAAGGTGCAATGTGGTGGTGACAATGAAAATTACTGGTGATGGCATGGGTCAGTTCGGATAGTAGTTTCAATATCAATATTGGTTGTGGTTCTAGAAATAGGTGGTGAAATGTATTGATTGTGTTATACATGTTACAAAAAATATAACAATTTTGTTACAAAAAGAAGTAAAATATGGAGTGAAAAAATAGCCATCAGTACCTAATCAATGTCGAATAATTTATAATTTTAGAATATTCCTGTAATTCTTCTTAGTATATCTGTACCTAATCAATGTCGAATTTTGTCCTCAATAGCCATCAGTAGTACCTGCCCGGCCCATTCAACCATCACCACAACATAGTTTAACACAAGAGTTTTGCTGTTTTACTAGGTAAGGGTTTCTACCAACCCTGACAGCAGGTGGGTCCCGCATGGGACCCACTTGTATAAAAAATTGGCTAAAATCCCACTCACCCCATGATGTGAGTGCTCAGTAGGAGTTCTATACCCTGTACCTCACGCTTGGTTGTTCACACATTAATGGGTGGGAAGGCCTACATAGTACAAAAAGTTCGAACATTTTGTCAACAATTTCAAAATCAATTTGCTCATCTTGTTTCATACTTCACAATATATTCAATCTTACTAGGAATATCTTATGCAATTAAGCAATCTTAATCAAATTTGGATGATATTTTAAACGTTAAACTATATGTATTAGCTTCTTTTTGAATCTTTTTGTTATATAATTTTCTCCATTTAATTACACAATGAATATTGTTGTCGTGCAAATGAAAATTCTTGTTGGCAAATTTTCCACAAAAACGAAAATAACTAATTATGTACTATGATATTTGTCTTATAAAACACTACATCTTAACATAATGATTGTTTTCTTAATTCTTGTGAACTAACAAATGTACCATGAAAACCATATGGCACCCTTGTAGGTATCTTAATTGAAGCTACTTGCTTCATTTTTGAAGCATTTACTATCACTAATTCAGACTTTTGTCCCTTTTCATCTCTTACCAAATTCATGAGAAATCCTCCTTCTTCTCCCTCGTCTTCCTTGCTCGGCACAAAACATGGCTCGCCACCAAATTTTTCCTCTCCGTATAAAAATTTCGTAACTTTTCTAGTGAGTAAGTTGACCTTAGCAATGCCACTACATTTTGGCCATGGATCGGCTATGGCCAAATATATGTACCGGGTTTTTAGGCCTAATCGATGTTTGTTCACTTGTCCTACTTCTAGGTTCATGCCTGATACGATAACTTTTCGAATTGACTCGCTTGTTTTTAAATTCAATCGGATCTCAGATAATTCGCTTCGTAACAAGTCATCACTGTCCGAGAATATTGCACATGGTGGTGTCATGCATGAGGTTATGACCACGATGATTTTATCCCCGTTTTCATTAATTTCCTCGTATGCATTCCACATATGGAAACAAAAACAATCTGGCACATCAATCCACTTGATTCTTGATTCGTCTACTGCATTTTTCGACAAAATCCCAAACCGAGATACCTTATTCGGGTCATGGAAAACGGGTGACCTGCCCCGAATCATTTCTGACATCCTGAACACTACTTGATGATCAGGGATGATCACGTGACTTTCTGTTATGGCAAAGTCATGTATCATAGTCGGCTGCTCGAGCGAAATCAATACCTCACGTGACATTTTACCGCACTTGTCAAACTTGAAGAATTTTAGGTATGGTTTTTTAATTACATTGTAGCTCAAAGTATAGAGATCCCCTGTGGCCGGGTCCGCCTTGGGGTGAGCAATTAGAGGATCTTTGATCTGTCCATCGAAATCGAACCGTCCGATCGTCTCGATATCACCGTTACTTGTGATATGGATGTGGTACGGAAGATCATCCTCGGACATGGCTAGGAGCCGACCGTTGAAGTAGACTAAGCCGGCATTGGCTACTCCCATGCCTTGAGACACGCTGACCAAGCCAATCAAAGACCGAGTAAAGAAAAGTGCGAGTCGAGCCAAGCCCAAGTGGCCATGCAGCCCTCCCATTGGCTTAGGAAAAACCGGCCTCCTAAGTGTGGATTCTTGAACCAACCGGTTTGTTTTAGTGAACCGGCAGGAGTACCTGGCTTGATTTCCGGCAGACAACGTGACGGCGTGAACCATGCCGTCACCATCGAACAGGTGGTGGCCGTTGGTTGGCGAGAACAATGGGTTGGCACCGTTTCGAACGTACACTCCATCCACATCAGCTGGAATGGTGCCCACAACTTCAAGCCCGTGTTGGACTGGGCTCTCTTGAACCGGTGCAAAGTTTCCTTCAAGCTGAATTGCCGGATCAACACTCCGGTTCGGCTTTTGTTTCTTCTCCAATTCTGTTACAACCGATTTTTCCACCATGTCAAGGGCAAAAGCTGCTAGTTTCTGAAGAGGGTTAAGTTGCGGTGGAAATGTATACGGTGAACCAGGAGGCGGTGGTGGACGGATTAGTGGCAATCTTCTGGGAATAACTGTGGTCTTTGATTGATTGTTCAGAATTTTGCATGTAAAAGAGGGTGAAATGGACTGAACTTTCCTTGTGGATTTATGAAGTAACATTAT